ATGCAATCCACACTCAAAGATGTCGTCACCAGTATTATTGCCAATATACAAGAATGTTTGTCACCAGCGGCTCTACCGCAACACACATACAGCGAGTCTCAACCAAGTAGCAGCTATGGCTTCCCCTTTTTCTCGCCTCTCTCATCTCTGTCTCGCCCTCTCTCTCGTCCCTCTTGTCTCGCTCTCTAACCCTGGATCGTTACCCTGGATATGCCCACTCAGGTATATTACACCTTGGCGGCTATGGCCGCCATCCTCCTGCTCTACGTCTAACCTAGCTAGGGACTAACCCTCAGGCACCCCCTTCTTCCTCAGGCGCACAGTGMCCAAGTTGCCGTAACGCACAAGCAGCAGCAGCGCTTCCACATCTGGCAATTGAACAAGCGACGAGGCGCTGCACTGTAGCAGCTAAATATAGGACTTGTCTTCGCTTGGCCTGCTTCAGCCGTGGCCTGTCTGCTGCAAACATTTTGTTGGTCCGGTACCTACCGGACTTTTCTGGGAAATGCTGCAAAATTGGACTTGGGGACTGTCGGACTGGACTTGGACGCTTCTGGACTTTTCTTGTCGGGTATCGGATAGACATCTACCGACCTACAACGATACCGACCACTACAGACCTACGACACTTCAACCTTAGAGCCCTACGGCCTACCCTACGGATGGCCCTGGGACTTGGGACTTGTTAGGACCTTGGGACTGGGGCACGGTGTCTGCATAATAAAAAACGAATTAATGCAAAGAAAGAATTCGAAACTGAAAAAATAAATTTTGGATTTATCAACCAGCGATTTTTTTTATTTCAAGAAAAAAAGATTCGAAAATTTCAGCTACTTGCATGCTGCTGAATTTTGGTTATGACCATTTCGAAAAACGAGTCTGCGCCAAGGAAAGAATTCCGAAAATATATGGCCATGCTGTGCCTCTAGTGACAGCGGCGTGTCTGGAGTGTATTTTTTGGCTGTTACAGACCTTTCTTTGTTTCGTGTGTGTGTTGTTTGCTTGTGATGGGGTGTGAACCGACAGTCTGTAGAGTTTTCCATCTGGTGTGGGTGAGTGATAGTCTGCCTTGACTTTTGCCACAGGTACCTTGAGGGCAGTGGTTGGTGCCCACCTCAGGGTATCAGTTGTCGGGCAGTCGTTGATGCTTAACCACAGGTCAAGGTGGATTATCACTTACAGTGTAATCAGTTAGGGGATTCTGCAGACTGTTGAGGGTTCAGCGTCCTGACGAGTCGGTGAAACTTCGACGAAACAGTTTGCCACAGCTCCTCGTTTGTTGTCCTCTTCTCCCTCTCTGCCCACGGTTTACCGGGCAGCTCTGTTTGACTATATATACCACGACTTCGCTGGCACCCTGCTATGGTATTCTCCGGTCAGGGCAGTGGTCGGGGCTGTCACTACGCGGCCATGCTGTGCCTCTAGTGCCAGCGGCGTGTCTGGAGTGTTTTGGCTGTGACAGACCTTTCTTTGTTTCGTGGGTGTTTTGCTTGCTTGTGTTTGGGTGTGAACCGACAGTCTGTAAAGTTTTCCATCTGGTGTGGGTGAGTGATAGTCTGCTTTGACTTTTGCCACAGGTATCTTGAGGGCAGTGGTTGGTGCCCACCTCAGGGTATCAGTTGTCGGGCAGTCGTTGATGCTCAGCCTCCTGATGAGTCGGTGAAACTCCGACGAAACAGTTTGCCACAGCCCCTCGTTTGTTGTCCTCTTCTCTCTCTCTTGTGCAGACTGTTGAGGGTTCAGCCTCCTGATGAGTCGGTGAAACTCCGACGAAACAGTTTGCCACAGCCCCTCGTTTGTTGTCCTCTTCTCTCTCTCTGCCTACGGTTTACCGGGCAGCTCTGTTTGACTATATATATATATATATATAAAAAATGAAGAAGGAAGTGCAGGTGTGCTGAAAAATGAACGTGGTAGACTCTTCACCAAAGCTGCAAAACTGTGAAAGAAAGAAGAATGCAGTAAAAGAAAGTTTGTGTCACCCTTTTTTTTTTCTTTTTTTTTTTTTAATTTATTTTTTTATTTATTTTTTCTCCCTCTGCCTATCGATTTTCCTTTTCTGCTCCTCTCTCCCTTGTGTTTGACACCTCTTCCTTCGCTCTGCCTCTTTCCCATAGCGTGCAAGTGGGCTGTTATGGCATACGGGGATGGGGGCAGCTCGCGCTCAACTTCATCAACGTGGTGAGCCTTGTACGTTAGAGGCACAGTGGAGGAGGCGTTAAGAAGACTGAGAAACTGAATGATTTCAATGTGTCTTTGTTTTTGATCCTTTGATTCAGTGTAAATAATTTTTGTAAAAGACTGAAAGAAATAATAATACTGTGAAACAAAGTGTCATTCTGGTTCGTCTGTCTCTTTGCCTGTCTTTCCTTTCAT